TTTAAGAAAGCCCAATTAATTGTTATACCAAAACCAGGAAAACCTCCTCATGAAATCACTTCCTACAGACCTATAAGTCTCTTGCCTATAGTGTCCAAATTGTTTGAGAAATTGTTCCTCAAAAGACTACAAGCTCTTTTTGAAGAAGACGACGTCATTCCAGGACACCAATTCGGGTTTAGACGGAGACATGGCACCGTGGAGCAGGTCCATAGGGTTGTTCATACAATTCGAAACTGTTTGGAAAACAAACAATTTTGTTCTGCTGCTTTCCTTGATGTCAGTCAGGCATTTGACAAAGTATGGCACTCTGGTTTACTATTCAAAATTAAGAAGTTACTACCCCATTCAGTTTTTCCTATTTTAAAATCATATCTTATCAACAGAACTTTCCAAATTAAACATCAAAATTACTTAACTGACCTTTACCCTATAGAATCAGGAATCCCCCAAGGAAGCGTGCTTGGACCATACTTGTATATTCTCTATATATCGGACCTACCAGAAAGTGTAAACACTATGGTTGCTACATTTGCGGATGACACGGCGATTTTATCTGTCCACGACAATCCAGCTCAAGCTACAGCAAATTTACAGCTAAACTTGGATGAAATTTCTCATTGGTTTAAAACATGGAGGTTCAAAATTAATGAAAATAAATCAGCACATATTACTTTTACCTTAAATCAGGCTACATGTCCTCCAGTATCCATGAACAATATTCACCTCCCTCAAGTAACGGAAATAAAATACTTGGGCATGCACTTAGATGCAAAGCTTAATTGGAAGGCACATATCTGGACTAAAAGGCAACATCTAAATTTAAAAACAACTAAACTTAATTGGCTTCTTGGATCTAAATCAAAACTCAGTACACAAAATAAATTGTTACTGTACAAAACAGTTTTAAAACCAATTTGGACTTATGGTATTCAGCTTTGGGGATCAGCAAGTACCTCAAACATTGAAATTATTCAACGTTACCAATCAAAATTATTACGTAAAATTGTCAACGCTCCTTGGTTTGTTACCAACAGAACACTTCACAATGATCTTCAAATTCGAACAGTAAAAGAAGAAATTACAAAATATAGTGAAAAATACATTATAAAATTGGAAAATCATTCAAATCATCTTGCACTTAATTTATTGGACAATCACAACACCATCTACAGACTGAAGCGACATACGATATTGGACCTACCATTCAGATTCGGCTAAGTGTTATGAAAATTCTCTTTGTTTGCTAGTGTTGACGGTGGTCAATCACTAGCTCATGTTCTTCAAGTTATTTTTGTATTACTATTTATATCATTTGCTTATTGTTCAACTTGAACAGATTGTAAATTAAATAAAGTTAAAAAAAAAAATAAAAAAAAATGTAAATATCTTGTTTGGTAAACAAAGGATGTAATTGAATCTGTAAGTTAAGACAAGTATGCGAAAACTACAGTTTTCCATTAGCTCAAGCCTAAATTATATTGTATGTAATCTAGCTTGTTATATTTCGTTATTTTGTCACGTAAAAACATTTAAATTATGTATGATGTATAAATATAAAAAAATTTAACAACAAATCCATTTGAAAGTAAAGTTTAGACATTGGTACGGTCGACATTGGTACATTATCATTGGCGAAAATGCTCATGCACATTAACATTATTGCGGCTATGTGTTTAAGTTGTAACATGGTTTAGTTTCATATAGAAATTTGAGAAAATAATTTTTATTTTATTTTTTGTTGTAATGATTTGAAATTAAAGTTTTACATTTACAATAGTCAAGAGTAGCCTGCAGTAGCAAGACTTCTTGATAAGAAAGCTCTGGAAGCTTCCTTATCACCTGGTCCAGTGCATGTGCTGGCCAGAGTAGGGGTAGAAGGTTCCAGAACTGAGATATCTTATATAAGGGAGCTGCTTCCATGTGGGGTTGTTAGTTCAAGAGTGTAGATGTACAGTGTCCAGACCTGGGGTGAATTTTCTGCAGCCTACTCAATGAGTCGTAAGTTTATTTTATTTTTTTATGTTATTTTAATTCATTTACTTTTATCCCTCCCTCTCTGCTAATTATTGTAATAACAAGAAAGACCATAGATGTTTTCTTATTAGATATTTAACTTTTCTTTCAATTAGTAAAAGATGTAAATATAAAATGCACCTTTTTTATTCTTTTAGAATTTACTAGCTGTGTACCCGTTCTACGCACGGGGATCTTATAATATTCAGTTGAAACCTTCTTATATAACGAACAGCAGTTGGTTTGCATATTTTAAGATATGCTGGCCAAACTATTATACATAGCTTCATTTTATGTTGTTTTTTGTTGTTCCGGATCGGTATGACAATCAATAAAAGGTTAAATTACCTCTGTGTCTGCCGGTCGATCCTATAACGGTAGGCTTACTTTTATTTTTACTATCTGATCTCGTTTGCATGGCTCAATCACGTCCTGGTTGAAGTTCGTTCGCTACGCTCACTCACCTGTATGTTGGAGCTCGTTCGCTGCGCTCACTTTCCTTCAGGTTAGCTCGTTCGCTACGCTCACTTGCCTTCAGGTTAGCTCGTTCGCTACGCTCACTCGCCTCCAGGTTGCAAATTAGCTGTTGTCATAAATGTAAAAGAAATAATAGTGCTAGTGCTGCACCCTGTTGGTAATCCTTGTAACTTTAATGCTATTGAACATCACAGAACAGAACCAACTTGTTTAATTGAAACAGCTGTTAAGATTCAATAATTTCATTTCTCATAAGGTTAACATGGGCTTCCAGAAATTCCACGTCAAAAATCGACAAAAACTTGATTTTCAAGGGTTTACTGTTAAATATCTAACTGTCTCATATTCGATGAAATACGTCTAAAACCATCTCATATATGTATAGTATTTGGAAAATAAGTTTCAGGCGGGACAGTGCTATAGTTATTGAGGAGTAGTTGTAATAAAGTGCGTATTTTAGCGTTACCAAGAGAATGACAGATAGACAGACAGACAGACAGACAGACAGACAGACAGAAATTGAGATAAGGTTTGATTCGGTTTCTCTGACCTATGAAATGTAAAAATAACCAAAAAGTTCATTATTCTAAGCAATGTACAGACAAAACTCTAATTTTATTTATATAGATTAATATAGTTAAATTTGGATCTAAAAATAATAAATGCTAATTAAAGTAAAGTTTTTAAAGTTTCTAGAAACGTTTAGCAATTGTAAATTTTATTTCATTCAGGAAGAAATTAATGTAACCTAATTTAATTTCGAAGGATTTTAATTCAATTGTTTAGCTTTTCAATTTAAAGAAGTTTGAAACATTAAAGAAATATGTATTTGTATTGTAGACAGATAAGCTAGGAACGGGTTTGTTTGTTCACAGGGCTCAAGTGTGTACCAGTGATTAATGGTTTTAAAATGTCCCATAAAAAAATATTAGCCGAATGTTTTAAATTTGTTGATTTTTATATTTAAAGAAAACTAATGGAAGTAAATAAATTTCAGTTTGATTTTGGGTTTGGTTTTGAAAGTGTTTAGAAGAAACTGTTTTATTTTAAATAAACCATGACTTTTGTAACAATGATGAATTTTTATTTTGGGTCTCCTCTTAAGGCCAATTCCACTAAATAGAAGATAATTGATCTTGGAAATAACGTTACAAAGTTGAGACACGTTTGTAGAAAACACTAAAAAGGCAATCTTCTAAACAATTTTAAAATATTTACAACTTTAATTATATAGAAATGTTCATAACACAGTAAGTAATTCCATTAGTTGCATAAGCTTTTACGTGAGTCTTTTTAATTAATGGAAAATTAAGTCTGTAATAACTCCTAAAATAGCTCCTGTAATACCGGTACTTGATAATTGCTTGATTTCTAGCAACGAGTACACAAGTTAAAAATTCAACAATGCATTAACATAACAAGCTCTCTTTCACGCTGAAAGACTAGTAAACGGCAGAAGTAAGGCAGAACGGCAGAACTGCGGTATTGGTTTACCATACACGCCTGCAACGATGCGCTGCAAACCGCGCGACGAGTAGCTAAATGAACCGTAGAGTAAGTGAGCCTTTTAATATTTGTAGAGGGTTCACTTACTCTACAGATCATTGTGCCAATGAACTGTAGAGTAAGTGAGCCGTCTTCTATTTGTGTAATAGTTATCATGAAATAGGCTCGTATAGTATACGAGCCTACTCCTGTAATTTATTTAAATTCAGTATTTTGGCTCGTATACTATACGAGCTTATTCCTGAATTATTCAAGAATTCATACGCTTGGCTCATAGGCACTATGATCTGTAGAGTAAGTGAACCCTCTTCATTTATTTAATATTTTTGATCGGCTCGTATAGTATACGAGCCTGTAGTGCAAGTGAACCTTCAATATTATTTACGAAGCTCGTATAGACTATGATTTGTAGAGTAAGTGAGCCATGTGTTTTAAGAATTACATATTTGGAGGCTCATTGTGTCAATGATTCGTAGAGTAAGTGAACCCTAACCAAATTGGTCTTATGGTGAAGAAGGGGGAAAGTAATGTTGGGTATGTGTAATCATTATAATACCATTTATGAAACATGCTCCAACATGCATTTAGCTTCATCATTAGCCATAAGGATGATTCCGTTTACGTCGAAGTAGTTTTGTCTTAAAAACGGTTTTAGGACATTAAAGTTAAGTAAACCGTATCAACATAATGAAAATAATTCATCAAAATACCTCAATTTAAAAATAAAAAAGGAGATAAACATTCTGCAGACATCAGCGTATCAAGTTTGTTAATATAATAAAACCATCTCATAAAAAAGGTTTCAGATTGTTTAGAGTTATTATGTCAACTTGTAACATTCATTTTAAAGAGGGTGTTATATATATATGAAGAACTATGTATTTGACCATGTACAAATAAGCAGCCAACATCTTAGCGCAGCAGTATGTTCCATCAACTCTCGCCTACTAAAAAAGTACGAAAATAAAATAAAATGTAAACAAACAACATAACCTAAAAAATAAGTTCACTTTCACACAACAACCTTTGTAGGTTGAAACATAACACAAAACACAACTCTTTTTAATATTACATACAACCATTAACCTTTCCAACATTACAACCTACAAAGTGTTTTGCCTTCTAAAATAATTAAGGAATCGTGAAATTATAAAGTACCAGTTTAATCCACTATCGGATTTTAGGTGAAATAATGGCAGAGGAAGAGGACGAAGTTCAACTGTCTGCTGAAACAATGAAAGCACTTCAAGAATTTTTACAGGAACAAAGTGATAGAGAAATTAAAATTAAAGAGATAACAGAACAACGGGATAAAAATAATGTATCTTCATTGACATTTGGTGAAGACTGGGTAAGCTTTAAGCTTTATTAGTGGGTAATGTACCTTATAAGGCATGTTATTTTTTCTAGCTACAAGTTTACTCAGCACTCTGGTTCTGGTTGTTAGCCAAATTATAAATAAGGGCCTAGGTCTTGCTAAAACGGTTGCAAGCTGAGTTACTACTGTAGTTGTTCTTTATCGCTTGAAAATATAGGCAGGTTTGGTTACTTTGGTATTATACGGAGGCCATATAGATTCATCACTACGGTACCTATCTAGCTTTGTGTTTGAAATGAGTATTGACAAACGTTCGATCGAAGCGGTTTAGGAGTATCCCTTTCTTTATACGGTGGGTAATAAAAGCTGGGTTAGTTCGAGCTACTACTTCTACCCGGTCGCGTCACCTGTCTCGTGTCTCCGAGTACTCGGTATTTCTAATATTAAATGTTCGTCTATCAATGTGCGTTTTTTTGTGTGTGTTCGTGTTTTATGTAGGTCTACCATTTATTAAATGACGACCTTCATATACGAAGGTGAATAACGACGCCTTGTAAGTACGGCCTGAAGATGATTCCATGTGAATTGGAACTACAGTTGCCACAAGCAACATTTTGGATTACTGAATGCAGGTACATAAACCATTATAAATATTCAACCGTAATCCGGAGGCTAACAACTCTTGAAAATGAAATAAAAGCTGCCTGAACATATTCTGATGCTTTCAATGATGCAAGTTCCATGGATTTGAGTGGTTCTTAAATGGTGGACCAACTATTATAGAACACGATTATGCGAACAAAGAACCATTGGATGGACAAATAATCACCTCTTTTACTAGGCTACTCTAGCAGTCGAAAAAGTCTGAAATATCTAATTTCTCGTCGGTTACTGACGGAGCCCAGCGTACCAACGGGTTATTGCCTTAAAAATTGCAGAAGGTGTCTGAAGGTGTCGGAGACTTGTCTGAAGGTGTTTTGTTGGAGAGCGTCAAACTAGTGGGTTTCCTGCTATCGTTTACACACTATTTTCCAAACCCACAAACAGAAATTCATTATTTACATTTAATAGGCTAGGGTACCTAGGCTATAATGATTGAAAAATTTGATCAAAAGCGTTTAGAAGTGGCGTGTGGTAAATAATAACCCAATAAGTGAGGCCTAGTTTTATATTGAACTAAAACTTAATATTTCATTTGACAAAAGGCCTAGGCCTATATCGATGGTTGTCTGTGCAAATATCTCTAGGCCTACCCCTGATCTCTAATAGCGGCAGGTGACCAATCATAGTGTTCATCTGCTTCTTGTCATAAAATCAATAAAATAATTATGGCCCTATCATTAAAACAATTAAATAGGTAAGTTAACTTAAAATCAGCTACAGCCTGCACCTGTAATGTTTTGGAATTTAAACATTTCCTCTAAATTGTCTATTAGTTCTCCAGTGTTTGTTCACAGTTTTTCATTATTATTTAGTAAAACTTAAATTATCGTGTGTAACTTTTTCAAATATGTTCCAGCAACTGAGTCAGTTTTGGTACAGTGATGAAACGGCTATTTCTTTAGCCAAAGTTGCTATATCAGTAGCCACAAGTTCAGGAAGAATCGCTCTCATATCCTGCCCAACTCTTTACAGGCACATCAAGTCTTTAGCGCCAGAAATAAAAGGTAATAATAATAATAAAAATCTTTATTTGTCATAAGGATACATTAGATCATCGACAAAGTCAAAATCATGATTATACATCAATCGTCAAACAAAACAAAATCAAAACACTTTCAATATTTTGAAAAAAAAACAATAGGGCTTAATAACTAAAATATGTACAAATGACTAAACAAACAACAATATAAGGACCTGATAAAGCAACAGGTTAGCAGCAGGGTTATACAATCGAAGATTTATTTGGCCAGATTTGAACAAATCGTCCAAGCTATAAGAAGGGTTGTCTAATAGCCAATTATAAAACAAGGACTTAAATTTTTCTTGCGGATAAGCATCAATATTGTGTTTTGAAAGGTTATATACTTTAGTTGATAACACTATGTGGCTCTTGCTAGTCTTACTCAGACGATGTGATTCTAACAAGGCACTATTTTTAAATCTGGTATTGTGATTATGATTATTGAATTTTAGGTGATGGGGTTTTTTTTAAGATAGCCTATAAAGGGCAAGATCATAAATAAACAAATTTATTACAGTTTGAATCTTAAAATCCTGAAATAGTTATTTGTGTAACTAGTGGTGAAAGTGGCACTTTGCTGCACACGAGAGCAATGTTTACGCACGAGCCGCAGGCGAGTGCGGAATGATCTCGAGTGCAGCAAAGGCCTTTTTCACTTGTGTTACACATTATATTTTTCCTACAGTCACTATAAAGCATATAAATAATTAGTCTTTCAAACACTATACAACACGTTTTTAGGTTCAGCTGGCAACACAAATGGTGCCCTAGAGAAAGTAGTACCCGCGGTCCGTATCACTCCGCTATTTTTCCTCGGCAAGAAATGTGCTCCACGTTTTGAGAATATAGTTCCGTATGTTTTTGTAATTTGAAGTGGTTTCCGCGCCTAAAAAAATGCTTTAAAGGTATTTTCTTGTTTATTAAGATCGTAGGAACGTTTTAAAAACGTTTAAAAGAAAAGTCCAGAAAGTTCAGAAATACCGAAACTATAAACACGAAATGACAGGTTAAATCGTAGTTATAATAGTCAATCAGCTGCTCATAGTATTATTATCTTTAAGTGTTGCCAACCTATTTCCAAGCTTACACGGATTACGTGCATAATAGAACCACGCTGTTTTGTGTTGTTTCGTTGGAATCCTGATGTGCGGCAAAGTATAAACCGTACGGCAAAGTATAAACCGTACGGCAAAGTATAAATATGCAGCAATTAGCAGCTTTCTGTACTATAAACAGTACAAGGAAGCCAACTTTGTCGGGTGACTGTAGGAAAAAGAGGCTTGCAGTGCTCGTCTGGCTCTGATCCATTCATAGCTCTGATAGCCCCCTTCTGTAGGATTAAAATTTCATTAATTCTTCCACACCCACCCCAGAATATCAATCCATATCTCATTACAGACTGAAAATATGCAAAATAAGCCGATCTCAAATAGTTCTTTGGAATTACATCTTTGAGACGACCAAGAAGAAAAATTACTCGAGATAGTCTAGTAGACAAATAATTTATATGCTCATTCCAGGATAGTTTATTATCAATATGAAGACCCAAAAATTTTGTAGTGACAGCACTATTTTCATTATTTAAGGCAGAATCGTGTTTCAATGTAAATTTTATTTCTTGAGTTTTACAGTCATTCAATAGAAAGCCATTGGCATGAAACCATTTGGATGCGTTTAATTTTGTGACTTGGACTAAATTTTGAAGTACAAGTTGGTTATTGTTTTCATGAAAAAAAGTTGTATATCATCCGCGTACAGAATAGTTTTAGTATTTATTGCCATTGGAAGGTCATTAATGTAAATTAAAAACAGAAGTAGGCCAAGGATTGATCCCTGTGGAACGCCCCAAGTTACTTCCCTTTCTTGTGACTTTTTCCCATTAGAATTTACTAGTTGTTTCCGGTTTTTTAAATAAGATGAAAGAAAATTTAGAGAAGATCCGTTAAACCCATACAGTTCTAACTTTTTAATAAGGTATGTAAATAAACTAAATTTTATGACAGATTTTTTTGTAGGAGGTAATATTTTTTAAACTTAATGGTCTCAGACACAATCATTTATGCTGTTTCCTTGCTTCTCAATAGTTCAAAGTTTTGCTGATTGCTGAGTCTGTGCTATTTAAATGTTTCTAAATTTGCCAACTGCAGTAGGTTCCGATGAATAACAAAACTACGTTATGATCAAGTTTGACACAGAACTTAACCATCATGTAGGCTATTATTTTTAGTTCTTGAATGTTCTAATAAGTTTGAGGAGTTATTAGAAATGATATCACCATTAAGAAAGATGAAGGAAAATATACCCAGTAGGCTAGTGATTCCATGCCAAACCAAACTGGAATACTGGAAACATATCTTTGAGGTATGGCAAGTGGAGGCTCCCTAAATTCACTCCAATACATTTAGAGTGTTGACATATACAATTTCTGTACGAATCACATGACTCTCAAGGCTGGCTACTAAATATTTTCTAGCCTGCCAGTGCTAGTTGCCGCTACTTTCTGTTTTCACATAGCGATTTGTAGCCGCTACTTTAGTCGCAGTGAGTAGAATCGCCATGTGTGAACTAGCCTTTACACACTAGCTGTTTTTAGCGAATTTCCCATATAGGGAATATTTATGTAGGTCTACCATTTATTAAATGACGACCTTCATATACGAAGGTGAATAACGACGCCTTGTAAGTACGGCGTCTTGTATACGGAATAAGCTATTACCGTAGTACTCATGATAAGACCTGGACCCGGGACCGATTTTTTTTTTCGTTTTGAGGTCCCTAGAGGCCAAAAATAGCATCCATTCAAATGCATATATATATATATATATGTCCGTTAGCGTGATAACTCGAGCAAAAATGATCCGATTTTGATGAAATTTGGTACAAAGGTGTAAACCTACGTTTATTCAAACGAGTTCGCGAACCAGCATGATCGGACCATGGGAGTGGGGGTTTATGGGGGCTTTTATGGGGTAAAAATGGATTTTTCCCATTTTTGACCCAAAAAACTTAAATTTTTGCAATTTCTTTCCAAACTATTTTGTAGAGCTTAAAAAAACAAATAATTTAGTATATTGAAGCGTTATAATGCGCCTAATGGTTACGGAGAAAATTCAAAAAAGTTGTAAATTTAAAATTCCTATGTTATTCTTATAGAGGATAAGTAAACTGTTGTAGTTTGCTTTATTAACATATTTTGCCCAAATTTGGAAAATGTTTTTATTTCTTACTAACTATTAACATTTTACAAAAAAAAAAAAAAACAGTTTTACCCTCCCTGATGCAGCAAACCTAAGTATGTGTTAAACTGATTTGATTTAAATAGGGAATAAATGTGATATTTTTAAGGAGACAGTTTAGTGTAAATCCAATTAGGCAAATGGAAATTCGCTTAGTCTGCAGGTTTGCTGCGGCGGGGGTATTTATTTCTGTTTCATTATGTTAGTATAATATGATTTTTGTTTGTTTCAGTATCCCTATTTGAGTTTGACCAGCGTTTTTCCGTTTTCGGAGAAGACTTCTTCCTGTATGATTACCGTTCCCCGCTGGACATTCCGAGAGACTTTGCGTCTCAGTTTGACATTGTTGTTATGGATCCACCTTTCCTGTCAGAGGAGTGTCTTACAAAAACTGCAGTTACTGCAAAGTTCCTCGCAAAAGATAAAATTATTTTATGTACCGGTAAGGATTTTTTTCTTTCTTCATAGGCTTAGCTGTATCCACCAGTAGTTCAATACAATAATTTGTTTATCTAGTTTTGATTTGGTTTTCATATAGTCTGTAATAGTTTTTAGGTTAGAGACACACACAATCCTGTAACATAGCATAGTGTACCTAATGTTCTTGTTAAAAAAATTTAATCAATTATTGTGATGCTATTGAGAGTTTTGGAATGCAGATAATGTTTTGCTCCCCTGAAACTGCTTAATGTTTTTTTGAGAGAGATGGATCCATTGCTTAACCCATTGGCGCTAATTTACTAGCGTTACTCGTACGGCCGCTAAAGGCCTGGCGACTGACTTACGAGTGCCGCTCGTGTCACCACTACGCAGCTTTTGCACTAGTTGTAATAAATAATCTATGTCTAATCTATGCCTGCCTTATTTCATATACAGTTTAACTAACATATGTTTATTGATTATTATGATTTTTGTAAACAGTCAAATAAATACACATCTTTTGTGAAGTCCTAATAGTCTTTTATCTTGTCTGTCTATAATATTTTAACATTGGTGCCGAAACCCGACTTATAAATCATGTCAAAAAATATGTCAATCCGAAAGTCAGGGAGAGAGAAACACCCTCCAAATAGATATTCCCCAGAAAATGCAAATGACAAGAATGATGAACCCAAAGAAGGAGATAGTCAATCTCTAAAACCACCTTCTAAGTCAAAAACCAAATCTTCAACTTCCAGCAAGCGCCGGTTAGTTCAACTGCAACTAGAAGAAATAGAAGAAATAAACAGGCTTGAGAAAATACACGAAGAAAGGGAGTTGCAACGGCTGAAAGAATTTGAAGAAAAGGAGATGGAGCGACAGAGACAAGAGATGGAGCAACAAAGGCAAAGAGAGGAGAGGGCAATGGAACGACAACGTCAAGCTGAAGCAAGAGAACTAGAACGACAGAAGCGTCTGCTGAGAGTAAGGACCGAACTTGAGTCTGCTTCGGTCTTGGGAAGTAGTCAGTCCGCCTCAGTCTTGGGCAGTCGTCATTTGGAATTGGAAGATAATGAAGACCCTGACAAGGTAAGCTTCAATATTGCTACTGTTGAGGAGGACTCTAATGTCAAAGTCAATAGGTGGCTGAATGAGGAACCGTCAGTTCCTTTGACATCATCAGCCATCGTGTCCACGGCTATTGATAAACTAGCAGACTCCTTTTCAAAAGCTATCAATTTATCTAACCCCAACCAACCTGTCTCTTGCCGACAGCGTCTTCCATCCTTCAGCGGGAAACCAGACGAGTGGCCCATGTTCTATTCCTGTTACAATAAGACTAAACACCTTTTTAATGACGATGAAAACCTTGACAGAATAAGAAATTGTCTGGAGGGAGATGCCTTTAAAATGGTAAAACCTCTATTTATATCAGGTAAAAATTTGAGTACAGTAATGAAAACTTTACAAATGCGTTTTGGACGTCCAGAGTTTATAGTCGAGTCAATGTTGAAGAAGGCGCGCATGCTCCAACCAGTCAAGGAGGATGACGCTGTCAGCCTTATTGAGTTTTCAACAACTCTTTTAAACCTGACCTCTACCGCAGAGTCGTTGGATTTGGAAATGTACCTAATAAATCCTCTCTTGTTGAATGAACTTTTAAGTAAGCTCCCCTATACCCTGAAGTACAGGTGGGCTGAACATGTAAATAGCATGCATTTAGAAAAACCTACTGACCTGAAAGTATTCTGTAACTGGCTTGAAAATCAGTGTTCCATTATGAGTATTTATTTTCGTCCACCCGAGGAGACAACGCGGAAGAGAAGTGACCCTAAACCAGTTTTTACTAATTCGCCCAATGAAAACGTTTGCATGTTTTGTTCGGAGAGTCACGAAACCGATAAATGTAAGCTTTTCAGAAAAGCAGAAGTCGCGCAGCGGTGGAAGATGATAATTGAGAAAAAACTGTGTTTCTTTTGCTTCCGTCGTCACCACATCAAATTTTGTAAGTTAAAGAAACCTTGTGGAATCAATGGGTGCAAATTATCCCACCATCGCCTTCTGCATACTGACAGTGCCTCTAAAAATTCCCAAGAAATCAGCCGGGACAGAGCACAGAACACTTTCAGACAGGAAGGTCAATCGAAAGAAGAAATTATAAGCAATCACTCGGTAAATAACCGTGTTTTACTAAGAACATGTCCAGTAACGTTATATGGTCCAAGCTGTCAGATCGACACATATGCACTTTTAGATGACGGTTCAACCATATCTCTGCTAGATTCGACTACTGCCGATAAATTAGGCATCAGTGGTAGCATTGAACCCCTTACCACTTGTTGGTCAAATGCAACTAAACATTTTGACCCAACGTCCAGACGAGTTGAACTTAAAATAAAAGGGTTCTATGAAGATGAAATTTTCACATTAAGTAATGTAAGAACTCAATCACCTCTAGATTTACCCCAACAGTCGATTGACTCAGTAAAGCTTCGTGAGAGATGGCCTCATTTAAAGTCAATCGATCAACCTTTACCAACATCTCATGTTAAACCTACCATTTTGATAGGTCAAGATAACTGTGACTTGTTATTGACCAGAAAAGTTATCGAAGGTCCGCCAAATGCTCCCGTCCTGTCATGGAGCTACCTAGGGTGGTCAATGCATGGCAAGTGTCCAGAATTTGCTGGACGTGTTGACGATTTCACCTTATTGTCCTTTGATCACGACAGATTACATGATTTGGTGAAAAGTTCCTTTGAAATTGTCAACTACGGTGCATCTCCAGTAGAAAACAAATCAATAAAATCGGTAGAAGACGAACGTGCAATGTCAATCTTGGAAAAAACAACGAGGAAAATCGGAGAACGTTATGAATCTGGCTTGTTGTGGAAATCAGATGATTTTAAATATCCCTCGAGTTACGATAAAGCTCTTAAAAGACTAAAACACATTGAAGGGAAGATGGCAAAGGATCCTTCCTTTAAAGACGAATACACAAGGAAGATTGCCGACTACAAGGAAAAAGGGTATATTCGAAAACTAAGTGAAGATGAGGCAAGTATTTTAAATGATCATACTTATTATCTACCTCATTTCGGAGTTGTGAACCCCAATAAGCCCAACAAATTAAGATTGGTCTTTGATGCAGCTGCAAAGTCGAACGGTGTATCATTTAATGACGCTCTTCTTAGTGGACCTGACCTTTTGAATCCATTACCAGCTGTTCTCGTAAAATTTCGTCTGGGAAAATTTGCTGTCGCTGGTGATATTAAGGAAATGTTCCATCAGGTTCGCATAAGGAAAGAAGATGTAGATTCACAGAGATTTTTGTGGAGGCAAAACACGAATGATCCTCCAGATACGTATGTAATGGAGGTGATGACATTTGGGTCGACCTGTTCTCCAAGCACTGCTTTATATGTAGTGAACGAAAATGCCAAACGTTTCTCATCCATCTACCCTGAAGCTTCTAAATCAATTCTCACTAAGGAATACATGGATGATTTATTAGACTCTGTCAATTCTGAGGAAGAAGCAAAGACTCGAGTGAAAGAAATAATGGAAATTCACAAATCAGGTGGATTTCAAATGTGCAATTGGTTATCAAACTCCAAAGATGTTTTATCTGGAATTCCTGAAGAACTGAAATCAAATTCAACTAAGCAATTAAAGCATGATAGCAATCTTCCCACTGAACGAGTTCTCGGAATGTGGTGGGATTCAGAAAGCGACAATTTCGTATTTCATCGCAATGCAGAAAAATTGCAAAAAATGGAATCAAGTTATCCAACTAAACGTGAGGTTTTGAAGGCTGCGATGTCTATCTTTGATCCTTTGGGACTAGTCACCCCTACTACAATCAAAGGTCGAATATTAGTGCAAGAGATTTGGAGAACAAAAACAACATGGGATGAAGTACTAACAACAGTACTTACTAAGAAATGGCAAGAATGGTTGGAAGAAGTTAAACAACTACAATATTTTACCATTCCGAGATGCTATTTCAAAACCCTTATGATAAATGATGTTGAGCTTCATGTCTTTGTCGATGCAAGTGAAGAAGCGTACTCCGCTGTTGGATATCTAAGACATAAGAATACTAACGAGAATACTGGATACAACACTATGTTGGTTATGTCGAGAGCAAAGGTGGCTCCTCTAAAACCAACTACCATACCAAGACTGGAACTACAAGCTGCTGTCCTTGGATGTAGGCTTGTTAAAACAATTATACACGACCTAGACATCAACATCGTCCGAAAAATATTTTGGTCAGATTCTGTTACGGTGTTACATTGGATAAAATCTGATCCGAGAAGCTTTAAACAATTTGTTTCTAACCGACTTGTGGAAATACTTGAAGTTTCACAAGCTGATGAATGGAAGTGGGTACCATCAAAAAATAACCCTGCTGATGTCGCTACGAGAAGCAACCAGAAATTCACTACAAGTAATCATGAATTTTGGACTTATGGCCCCGAGTTTCTAAAATACGACTCAAGTCATTGGCCACAGCAACCAACAACCTTGCAAACAAAAAACAGCGAAGAGGTGAAACAAAAGTTTGTTGGACTACTCAACGAAGACAAAGAATATGTTATCAATATTGAGAGATTTTCTTCCTGGAATAAGGTAACACGAGTAACTGCATGGGTTCTGAGATACATTGGTATATTGCAATCCAGGATCAAACGAAATGACAAAGCCAGACTGAAGAAGAACTCTAACCCCAGATTGATACTGGAACTTCAACCAGATGAAATTCTTAAGGCTGAACATATCTTAGTGTTGAATTCCCAAGACAAAACTTTTAAAGAAGAAAAGACCTTATTAAGAAATAGCAAGTCACTACCGAAGTCAAGTAAAATATCCACATTGGATCCTTTCGTTGACGAGAAAGACCTCATCAGGATGTCTACAAGAATACGAAATTCTCCTGAGATCAGTACTGAACGAAGATATCCAATTATTTTAGATGGAAAATGTCAAGTAGCAAGACTAATTGTGAAGAACTTCCATGAAAAATGCTTCCACCAAGGAATAGAAACCGTAATGAACATGACAAGAGAACGGTTTTGGATACTTAATCTTCGCACAACAGTGAAGAAAGTGCAAAGAAGCTGTATGCGTTGTAGGATTGACAACGCCAAACCAAGTCCACCTCAAATGGCACCCCTGCCAATGTCACGAGTAGTCAAGGTCGCAGTTCTTGGGGGGGAGAGAATGTAATAAATAATCTATGTCTAATCTATGCCTGCCTTATTTCATATACAGTTTAACTAACATATGTTTATTGATTATTATGATTTTTGTAAACAGTCAAATAAATACACATCTTTTGTGAAGTCCTAATAGTCTTTTATCTTGTCTGTCTATAATATTTTAACACTAGTTATTTAATTATAATTATTTTCCCCCTTTTGTTTTTTCTTCCTTTTATGATGTTCATAAATATCTTGCTTCTTGTTTTGATTAACCCTTGCCGACCGACCGCCACCGCCCACCTGGTCCACCTCTGCTCGAGCGAACACCATTACCGCAACGATACGTCGAACAGCCGGAGGTCTCGGTGGTGTAGTGGATAGCGCACCGGGCTGTTAAACAGAGATTGCAGGTTCGAAACCTACTGGAGGCATTAACTTTTTGACTCGACTTTTTCATTATCAGCAAGTTTGGTTGGTTTGGTTAGGTTATGATAATTTTATTTTAAAATTAAAATATTGTAAAATTGATTTTGAGACATTTATTACTTTATTTAATGAACAGAACTATTTTTGTTATTAAACCTTCATTTGAAATTTTCATTATCAGCAAGTTTGGTTAGGTTATGGCAGTTAAATTTATTTAAATTTAACCTACAAATGAAAAGTTTTGACAGCGACAGAGATAACAATTTCCCACGAACAGTTCGGCCACAGTCTATCAATAAATACGTTATTTATATTAGACTGTGGTTCGGCTATGCACGGTATGAAGCGTTCTGTACGGCGCGGTGGTGGGCGGTGATGGTCTGACGGCAAGGTCTCGTTTGTTTTGCATATTTACTCATTTATTTTTGCGAACAACAAACAAGGTTGTGTTACCATGGAAACCAGATATCCCCAAAATCAGCTGTGGTAAGGTAAAACAAACATTTTTTCTATGTTATTACTTACAAAAGTAAACAACTTGTGATTTTTCTACGTAGGGAATCAATTAAACTTTATAACAGTAGTGTCATTTTTGGTGTGTGGATTAATCTTGGAATTTGTAAATTGAGTTTACTTTTAACAAATTGCTTTAATTTTTTTTAAATTTTATAATCTTTTTTATTTAATTTTTATTTTACACTTAGACTATCCAATTACCACTTTTTTGTAGAAAATTTTACTGTAATGAAAATGACGAAAGAATTAGGCCTATTAATTTATTACCTAAGGGTTTCTGTCTATAACAATTAGAGGTAAAGTCTACAAATTTGGTAAAATTAATTGCCGACAGAGGGCACTGCAGATGCATTAATTCCTCCTCCAATGGGTTAGGCCTTGGGTACGATACGAGCGGCAAGCGGTAACCAGAGCTGCACGTAAGCGGCGGTGGTGGCAACGATACAAGCGGCACATATATAACGCTCATCAAATTTCCCAAGTTTTATGAGTAAGTTTAGTCGAAAATGGTAAACTATGCTTACCTGCAAGACGTATTGCAACTATTGTTGCTATCTGACAATTGTTTGCCTGTAAAAAAACTTAGTTTTTAGAAAAGCCTTAAAACCCTAACTTGGTCCTATACTTTTCTGGTGACTGAAATGTTTTAAAACTTCCGTGCTGGTCATTCCACAAATATTCCCTGGACTGCACCTCACTTATCGACCCGTATCGCATTTTTGCTGCTGTTTCCCTGTCATTTTAGGCTGAACCGTAGCATGACTCACCTGAGCGGCGAGTAGAGTTTTTGCAAAAATCGGTTTTGACTTGTGCCGCTTGCCGCTCAGACGTATGGTGGCCACCCTCAACAAAGTTTTCACGCAACTAAATGAGACCCGATGTCAGAGCGCGCCGCTCGCCGCTCGTATCATACCCGGGGCCTTAACACGTTGACTGCGCGTGCCGACTTTAGTCGGCGTCGCCAGCGCTCCCAGGTGGCGCGCGCCGACTACAGTCGGCACCAGACCAACAGTAATATATTGAGTCAGTGTGAGCTTAGCCTCAGACGGAGACGTTATAATCGTTGCCAGCCTGCCAGCTTAGAATGCGAGCTTTACTTTGGTGTAGGTTGGTACTAAAATTTCCCGTAAAATCCCGTCTGGCAATGCTTTTGTCCCGGTTTCGGGGATTTTTTCTCTTCAACCCACATTACAAAGACACTGGATACGGATCCATGCAGTGCTGCTACCTTTGGGTGTTTCAGTGAACTACATCCACTCTCGGGGTAACGCAGCACAGTCACCACTGCTCTTTTGTGATTCGTCAGACTGAAATATTTGAATGCCAATTGCGTTCGCTGATTCGGTTGCGCGCCGGGGCTTCGCCCGCCACTGGGGAGCGCCTGTAAAGTCGGCGCGCGCAGTCAACGTGTTAAAGAGACCTTGGAGCCTAGCTGAGCTAACTCATAAAACAATTACAACACTAAAAAGAGAATTTCTAATATCATGGTGCCCTAGATATTTAAATTACAATCACTTATCTGAACAAATATTTTCAGATGGTAAATATTAAATAACCCTTCATCGGCTGTTTTATATTATCAATGCCTTTTTCTGTTGTACAGAATACCTAGGCCTATTCAGATAAAAATAGATAAACATTAGACTCAGCAGGAAGTGACATTATCAAATTATGTGATGCTGGTCACCTATAAGCACCGAGGAAGTTTCCGCCATGAGTGTCACCGGTGTTCCACGAGCAAAGTTAAATTCGTTCACTTCACCCACTAATCACTCTAAAACTTTATTTTACCATTGTATGCCAAAACCACTTTTAAATTTACTATTATAGTACAAGAAAAAAACATGCACTTCTTTTCCTACCGAGTGTGAAAATAAGCTGGCAGACGACAAATCCCGTTAGTGTCCAACATATTGTACAATGCAAAATACAGTAGACTCCCTCTTATGCGGACACCTTTTAACCAGACATCGGGTTAATGGACTACACTCGGCGGAAATGGCATCTCTTTAACCGGACAATTTTTATCAGTACATTGGTTTAACCGGACTAGATCGGCAGGAAGTGGGCGGTACTGAAACGACTGTTCTCGTGGGAAAGATTTGAGACCAGTGATCACGTGTCTTAATACAATGCTCTCCTAAATTTAAGTTGAATACCACAGTAAACGGTCCGTTTTAACGAGTTTTTGGGGACGTTGGTTTAACCGGAAAAACCGTTATCCGGACTGGCCTGGGTCCCGAGGAGTCCAGATAAGAGGGAGTCTACTGTAAAGAGTTGTTATTCTCTCACAAAATATTGCTTTGTTTTTTCAGTTTTTCACCCAAGGCAAGGGTGAGTTATAGAGAAAACAATAACAGTTGCTAATATGTTTGTTATTAGCTCAATCATAAAAATATACAACCGAAAGTAACAACTGACAATGTTATTTACGAGTAGCTTAGTCTTTCTAATTCTCGTCTTGCAATCAGAAAATCTCTGGTTTTATACTGAGTCAAAACCATTATGTCTCCATGTGTCTCATCATGTCTCCATGTGTCTCATCCATTATGCCTCCATTCATCTAAAATCAAGCTTTTTACTTGTTCAATACTAATTCAGCAGAATTTGATCAATTTGACGATTATTTTATGATCCTGACTAAGAAACCAGTTGTTTGAAACAAAGCTATACTCTTATACATTTAACTTTCAACCTTCACGTACCTAAACTATAAACTACGTACGCTCGTCCGTCAAGGCAATCGTCAATCAGCTATTAAACAATAAGACTTTTCCCTGAGCGTGGGATAACAATACCAAAGAATTAATAGGGAACTATTTTTAAAGCACTGTGGTTTATTTTGTAATCTTAATTTAGTCATATTATAGGACCAACAAATCAATTTTAAAGCATATATTTACTATTCTTTTCCTGAAATACCGGTATCTATGTGATGATTTCAGGCAGTGTCATGGAAGATTTAGCCAGAAGACTGTTGGACATGAAGAAGTGCCTGTTCGAACCTAAGCATCAGAACAATTTAGCAAATGAATTTTGTTGTTATTCAAATTTCAACTTTGACGATGTACTATCCACTGTTAATAAAAACTCGTAACACTTTTTATATTGTTGTCAAAAACATTTATACAACTAATTTGAAAACCTACTTTTCCCACAACACTCCTAATTCCAAAAAAGAATATCTGTATTTGCCATAAACTTTCATAAAGAATAGTATTAATTTTAATTCAATTACTAGCATGCAGTAATCTTCATTCCTAATTGCTCTGTAACTGATGCATCTGTGTGGCTCAAATGAATGCAGATGTACAATAGAAAACCTAGTATTTTAAATGTGTATTGTGTTAGTATTTTAATGTAATGAAAGTCTACTAGGTCAATCAAATTAAATCGAATTGAAGAAAAAATATTCAATTGCTATACACTGTCTGTAATTAAGAGCCAAATCAAAAAACTAAATATGGCTAAATTAGAAAATAATTTTTGTCTACAATTGTCGTACAAAGTGTTAAAGTTCACCCTCCAAACCAGATACCGGTTCCACGACGGAAGGTTAACTTTGCCCAAAAAAATCCTGGCACCCTCTCTTGTAAAAAAAATCTTCATCAAAATCTTCTGTGGCTAAAACATGGTACTGGTCTGATCACTGTTTATTAAAATGTGTGAACTCTACATGTTGCCGTGTCATACCTTTCTGACCAAGAAACATTACAATTCTATCACCACTGTCATCCTCTCTAAATTCCACAGTTATTCTGCAGAGCATCTCCTCCAGACCTTCCTCAGACTCCCCCTAGACAACTTTACCTCATCAAGGCTCCTCCAAAGGACCTATGAGAACATCCATGGTCCTCCCCCTTGGCCCATGACTCCTGCAGGACTTTGGTAGATTGGTATGGAACGTGTGAGCTCCTTTGTATGGAACTTCATGGACGTCACGAGACTCAGCAGGTGTGTAAGAAGGCCGATTCCGACTTCCACAGCAATCCCTGCAACATTTGGCATTCAGTCAAAAACTGTAACACTCCCTACACCCTTATAAAACTCCCCTCAGAGTCAACAACGCCTTTGTGTTGAAAAGCAAACAAATGAAACAAATGTTGAAACTTAAGAGGTACAGCAGCCTTTACACCACCCACATATACTTCCCAAGAACCGTGACTGATTGGCTAAGAAGAAGGGATTGGGAAGAAGGGCCCCGACTCCTTCACTGCTTGGATTCTTGTATTATAGAAAATGAGTAAAGTGCCCACCTTAAAAGTATTCCCTTGACAACCTAGAATAGAAAACATATTTATCACAAACCCACTGTAGATGGATTACTGGTCATCAATTGAAGGCTTAATTCAAATTCATATTGTACTATAAATTCACGATTGATTACAGTGGGATTTCTTTTCCTATAGCTCTGCAGTGCGTGCACAGTTTTTTTTTTGTTTTTTGTTTTAAGGACGCTAGGCCGAGCCTGGGATTGTTTTTCACATTACTTCAGGCTAGACCTAGGGGTTGCGGCATTATCACGTAGATAAAATCCATTGGTGACTTGGCGGGGATCGAACCCGGGACCTCAGGGACTGAAGTCCCGCGCTCTAACCACTACGCCAGCTCGCTCCCCAAGAATCTTATCTTATCAAAAGAGAGAGACCAACGCTGCAATTCATTCACAGTGTGCATTGTGCTCTCAGATCTGTCAATAAGGACTGCAGCATAACAGATTTAATTAAGGCACTATTCAAAGTAGGTGGTAGGTTTCTGGTTAGTCAGGAAGCGTAAAGTTTAACGAGTTCAAAGAAGTACTTTCATCCTCGATCTCGTATTCTAATAATAATAACCACCCTATGTCAACATTTTATACATATTGGAGAAGAACTCATATTTACCTTGAAAACTACTCAAAAACGCTGCGATAATGCGTACCTTATTTCGTCAGTATCGTGCGACAGGCTCGTTTTTTACCCTGTCAGCGCCCCTTTCCAATGGGCCCTATATATATTACAGGGTGTCCACCGACCGGGAAATCCGGGAATTATGCGCGAGTTCTTTTGAACAGGTAGTTGTACATGAATTTTGTATTTTTACCTGGAATTTTTAATTTACCGCGATCGTGCATGACAACAGTGACGTTTCCGTGACCGTGGGGAGACGATAATGTGTCTACAAACGGCCGCGAGGGATGATAAGAATTTCCCGCGATCGCAGAAGACGATGATGATATCTACAGAGCCGCGACGGATGATCAGAATATTGCCGTAATTACGAAAGACGATGATAAAGTCCACATGACCACGGGAAACAGCAAGAATTTTGCCGCAATCACGGAAGACGATAATGATCTTCACACGACTGCGACTGCAGGATGTGATTAACATTTTGCCGAAATCGTGGGAGACGTTTACGATATCTTCACGACCGCGGGAGACGATTACACGATGTCTACAGGACCGCGGGAGATACAATAATGATTTCTACACGGCCGTGAGGGATGATCAGAATTATGCCGCGATCGCGCAAGACAATGATTATGTCCACATGACACCGTGAGAAAAGATCATAATTTTGCCTCATTCGCGGAAGACGAGGTTCTCCACATGACCGCGGGAGATGATTACCATTGTGTTGCAATCGTGGGAGGCGATTAATACGTCCAAACGACCGCGGGGGACGATATAATAATGTCTTCACGGCCGCGAGGGGTGATCAGAATTTTATCGCGATCGCGGATGATGATAAGTTCTACACGATCGCGGGAAAAGATCAGAATTTAGCCTTATTCGTGGTAGACGCACAACGATGATAATCTCCTCACGACTGCGGGATATGATATGTTCATATATTGCCGCGATCGTGAAAGATGATAATTATGTCTACACGACCGTGGAAAAGTCAGAAGTTTGCCGCAATCGCGGAGGACGATTACGACGTCTACACGGCCGTGAGGGATTATCAGAACAGAAGTTTGTTGTAACAACTGTGGTTGTATTTCATGCAAATACAAACACAAATTTTTTAATTTTAAAAGCCAATTGCCTCGCGCCCTATGCACGTGCCTAAATCGGCCCTCACGTGAACTACTCACAGCAATCATTAATAATAGTCCCCATCTTAAATAATTGATAATTGATAATCATGAGTGAATGAAATCAATTAAAAATATTATAAACATTAGTTTGCTGCGCTATCCCGAGGTAGTGTTTTATACCAACGTATACGGTATACTGTATCAGATAATTGCTAACTAGTACTGACACTAATACTTCATAACCTAAAATGAACGCTATCCACTTGAACAATGTCCATCTCTTTTGCGCTTGAAAGATTTTTTGCCATTAATTTGGGAAATATGTTTGGCTTCGTTTATTGTATCAATACATTCACTAACGTTATTTTCCCAGCCATAGTAAGGAATGGGAAGATTGACTGAGAACAGCTAATTAGTTAAGTGTTAACTAACTGCCTAACATCACGCAAGCTGGAAGCTCAGGTTTGCATGATGACTACATCTTACAAATGGCTCGGACACTCATACTCATGCTATCAGCTGAGAACCGAGATCCTTTGCACACCAATGATTCTAATATTGTAGGCACCACGGTTTTAGTGTTTCAGTTACTATATTAAATACTTACGTCTATTTAACCAAGGATGTAATGGGGAAAATAAAATCTTGACGAGTCCCCTTCCACCATAATAAAACATGTTTAATCCATGGGAGTACCTAAAACATTTTTTTATCAGATCGATTTCCTAAAACCTTTCCAAATCTCCTTCACCTTAACTGAATCAGATGTTACTATTAATCACTTAGTAAATATTTTGAACACCTACAATCAGAAAATTTCGACTGTTTCTTTTCCCCTGATAATGAGTGAAAGTGAGAGAAATAGCGGTAGTGGAAGGAGATGGTGGAAGTGGCGCCGCTCCAGGTCTTCTAGACGCTCTGAAGTCGACCCTCCAGAAGTTTCCACCTCCTGGTTCCATAGCCTGGACGCCGTCTGCACCCAGTTAATGACGGTTCTACCGACCATCTCGTCGTCTACAAAAACGGCCATCTACTTGTTTATCGGTCTATTGGTAAGCAGTGATAAACCTTTGCCATCAACCTTGGCGAATCGTTTAAGTAACACATCTTGTAGTTAGTAGCCTACAGTGTTGTAGAGTGACCAATCTAGATTAGTGATTTAGGCTATGGTTGCAGTCATTTAGGCAGATCACGCATTTGAGGGAAATCACTTTTTGTGGGGTTTGACATTACTAAGCAAAAAGAATGCCAAACATTAAAAACTGACGCTAAGTAATAAATTAGCTTTGACAACCGCAAACCGCATACTCTTTTGAATACAATTAGCTTATTTATAACCTTCTAGACAGAGAAATTAGTCATACTTTTTGAGGCAAACATACAACAAATTGTCTAAAGAAAAGTAACGATTTTATGTCAATGGATAATTAGGATTGTTACTTAAAAAAAACATGTCCAAATTTCCTTTATAAGTTTGACGTAAGGTATTGCAATGATACCTCAACCATTGCTGATCCGTGACGTGACGAGATATTTTCACTTAGGTCACAATTAATTGGCTTGATAATATGATAGATATATAACTGTATTTTTATATTGTTAGCGGTTGTTTGAAATTTACTTTTTATAAATAAATGTGAGTTTTCTGTAAGCTTCGCCAGACTCGTCGGGTCTTCAACTATTAACCTAGTTTATTTCGACAGTGTCGTTTTACAAAGAACCTCGGTGGTATAATAAGCTAACATTCCTAAATATCGACCTATATTGAACCAACAAAGATTCAGCATAAAGTCTTACTGCTCACGACGAGTCTTTATCATCATTATAATCTGAAATAAATAGCATGGGTCTTACTCTTGGAATACTACTACATAATCTTGATTCAAATGGTCTTTTTCCTTGACTCTCGGTTCTAATCTCTACAACTGTTCAGGTAGTGTGGCGTATGACCCTGTGGGTGTTGGAGTTCATAGTGACGATCCTCTGCCTCGCTGCAGTACCGCTGATAGCAACATGCTTCCTCAAGCCAGAACTGGCTGTCTGGCTGCTGACTGAGATTGTGCTGCCGAACCTGGATGCTGCGCGTGAATGGTTGTCAAGAACTTTCCTCAGCGTTGGTCTTCTACTAACCCGACGTTACCCGCCGCCCCGCTCCATCCCTGCCATAGAGTATCCGACCATTCCACCACCTGCATTGGCCTCAGCATCCGCTACCTCTGTGTCTTCGCCTCGCAAGAGCGTACTTTCTCTCCCTACTTACTCTTCCCAATCTGAACCTGCACTGATAAAGGCTTCGGCTTGAATTACAAACGATTCTTGTGTAAATAAAACTTCTTCGACAGACTGTGTTTGTTTGAAAAACGTGTTTCCTTTCTTGTAGGACTTTATTTGAGCGATGCATTGGAAGGGGATAAGTCAAAGAAAGAACGGGTGTTATTTTGTTTGCCGGTCTCTCCCAACACTGAATTGGTAATGTGTCCAAGGTCTGGTATTTTGACTTTTGTCAAAAATGTAACTCATCAAACTGTAGATTTACGGTTCTGAATTTCACCACCCGGTAATTTACGCACTGACCACATATAGAATTTGTGAAAATCATGGATTTTGTACATAGGAGGATTCTTTTTTAGTGGAAATCCATTAACGATTGTCTACTTCGTACCGCTGTTTATATCATTTTTAAATGCTCATCTGTTTATTAGATAATCTGTTAAAACTCTAAAATCTAAAGTTATTCAGGAATAAAAACGATTATTGTGCTTCCACATAGTCTATACAGGGTGGCTGAAAAGTAACTTACACCCCCCCCCTTAACTTTTCAACCATTTAAGATATTTGAAATCTGTTAGCAGCAGCAACCTTCTTAGATATGAGGGGCTACAATAATTATGGCCAATTTTGAAAATTTTGCCCTTAGGGGTAGCGAGGGTAGTGGGTAGCTCAAAATTTTCAAACGACAAGTATAGTCGAGTTTGGTATTATTTTAGAGATCTTGACGAAACATATAAATTGCTTCAAAATTACTTTTAATAACCATTGTCTTAATCATTTTTAGCTTCCATTTTGTTATTAATGGTCCTATTTCTATTTTATTTCTATTTATTGTTATGTTTCGTCAAGACCTGTAAAATGTTACCAAACTCGACTATACTTGTTATTTGAAAATTTTGAGCTACCCCCTACCACCGCAACCCCTAAGGGCAAAATTTTCAAAACTGACCATAATTATTGTCGCCCTTCATATCCAAACAAGTTGCCGCAAACAGATTTCAAATATCCCAAATAGGTAAAAGTTAAAGGGGGTGCAAGTTAATTTTCAGCCACCCTCATGGTTATTTGGATTTGAAACGTTTTAGTGCACCATTTTGTTATTAGTGGGCTGATTTTGGTTTTCTTTATGCCAATATTCATGTTCCGTCAAGACCTGTAAAACGATACCAAACTCGACTATACTTGTTATTTGAAAATTTTGAGCTACCCCCTACTCCCGCTACCCCTATTGGCGAAATGTTCAAAATTGACCGTTATTATTGTAGCCCCTCATATCTAAGAAGGTTGCCGCAAACAGATTTCAAATATCTCAAATGGTTGAAAAGTTAAGGGGGGTGCAAGTTACTTTTCAGCCACCCTGTATATTTAGTTTAGGTACTTTGAATTATTTGATCACTTGTGAAAAGGGTAAAAACTTAATGAGTACAGACCCTGAAACAACCTGCTGTAAGTTTGAAAACTACTTTGCAAGTTTCGCCAGCTAAGACTCTATAACCGTGATTGCATGTTTTTAGATTAGGCCTTAGTATGCAAATAATATGTTAAACCTTTTGACTAAGTATCTAAGAGTCAATGGTTTCACCGAATGATAAATGTTCACTTTTTCCTAATTCAAGGTGATAATGCTTTATTATTATGTGAATTACTATGTTACAAATTTCAGTCATTTTTCTGGCTGTTGTGCTAATTGTTTATCTGCTTGAATACAATTTATCTGATAAGTGAGAAATGTAGTCAAAGTAAGGTGTTATTTCAACGTTCATTTAAATGTTGTATATACAAATATTGTCAAAACGATTTTTTGGCAGCCAGATCACTCCACCTTACGAGAAACATTACCCAAGTTCAGATTTTCAAAGTACTGTAATAAATAGAATCGATTTAACAATTCTCATTTTAAGTTGATAACGACCCTTCAAATTTTCGAACAGGACATAACAGGGTTTTTACTATTTCCACCACAATAACAAGTGTAGTCAAATAAAAAAAAAACACGCTTGGTAAGTTGTGTACCGCTTTTATATTCAAAATTTATATAAGTAGGTACCGGGGACCGGGGGACCGATCCTCGCTCGGTTGTGGTTCATTGGGTTTAATAGTTAAAAAAATATACATTTTATAATTTACGAAACACATTTTTATACAAACCATAGACATTTGATCGCTGAAATAATAACTCTGTAATATAATGTATACAATTAAACACAAATTTGATAAATTTTTATGATATTTGCTTGTAAGTGCACATAAATTTTATCCCCTCTAGTCATTGTAACCCGTTGTTCGACTTTTACAAAGACAGCAGATAAAAAATGATGTAAAGAAAATCATATTAGTTTCAAAAAAGCATGTGACAACGAGTTTCATTTTTCCGCTACTGTATAAAGAAATTGAGATTCTGTATGTTTTTCATTGGGATTTATCATACGGTAATAGTTTTATGCCAATTAAAACCCAAGATGTAATTAGTTTACTTGGAATTCCTCAGTACGGCGGGGATTAAGTTTTGGTGGGAGAAGGTCAGGTAAAATAATCAGTATTCGTTCGGAACAATTTTCCCCTATATCGAGTAGTCTTCAGTGTAATCTTTGCTCAATTACAACTGGTGTTTTTCCTTTCCTACTGTATATTGTAATTTACTAGTATGCTGTGGATGGCTTGTTATTAACACATGTTTTAAGTATTTTATCCACTTTTTCCTTGTTATTTTGTTCAACCAACATAGTTAATCAAAAACTGTCCCAAGGTTATGCACGCCTTGTAAAGCTTTTCCCTTTAATCAATAGGAAATCTACTCTGAAGCCAGCTTGTACAGTTCTAATCTATAAATCAATAATTCGGCCCTTGATTACATATGCATCTCCTATCTGGGGATTAGCTACATCAAAAAACAAACTCTTCAAAATTCAAGTGATTCAAAAAAAATTCTAAGAATAGCGGTAAATGCTCCCTGGTTTGTTAGAAACAGGCATATACATACATGAAGTACTAGGAGTGGAGTCTATATAGGCCTTTATTGAAAAAAACCACCTCCAAATTTCTAAAATCTTTAAACGATGTTCCTGGTGCATTAACTTTTCATCTTGGTGAAGCAACTGAGAACAGGAGGCTACGTCGAAGGCTCCCTCAAGATCTATTGGAGGAATGAAGCCTAAAGAAGATTAAATTATTCTCTAAATTAATTATGTTACAGGGTGACTCAGGTTTGGGCGAACCCACGATGTTATTATAGTTAATTTCTTATTAATTTTGTTAACACTTCTGTGTATAATGTCTACATTGAACCAGAAATAAATGATGCTGTAAAAAAAAAAAATTAGTAAGGCTAGGATTATACTAGGACGCTGGCGTCCGGGATGCTGGCGTCCGAGAGGCTAGCGTCCCACCTCGAGCCGAAAAATGACGTGATTTGTGTTGGGATGCTAGCCTCTCAGACTGCCAATTTATTTCAATGTTTAGTCACTTTTTGTTTATATCTATTTAAATAATAACGTGTACCAAGGTTTGATGCTTTAAGGGGGCTAATAAAGTGTGTTTTTTAGTAAAATACTCTATTATTAGCTTAGTATAAAACAAATCGTCCAAGTTTAATCAAAATATATCCATACACAAGCAAATTCCAACCCATAACAACATTTTCTATAAAAATAACATGGCAATTTTTAATATACTCTTTTTTTTATTTTCTCCATAACTAATAACAGTACAAAAACACTTAAATATACTAATTTTTTTGTTTTTAAGCTCAAAATTGTCTAGAGAGAAATTGGGAATTTTTCAGTATTATGGGTCAAAAATGACAAACCCCCTTTTTTAGCACATAAAACCCCGTTCCCAAGGTCTGTTCATGCTGGTTCGCGAACTCATTCAAGTTAATCCTACCCCTCACCTTAAAACAGAGTTTCTTCAAAATAGGACAAAAGTTACTCCAGCTATCGCGTTTACAGACATATATATATAATATTTAAATCTATACGAACGGATGGTGTTTTTGGCCTCTGGGGACATCAAAATGAAAAAGTAAATTGGTCCCGGGCCTAGGTCTTACCATGCCACCTATGGTAATAGCTTCGAGCGTCCGGTGGCTCTTTTTAGCACCCGAAGCTAGCATCCATAGTATAATCGCCCCCATTTGATTTAATGCACCGCTAGCGTCCCGGACGCTGGCCTCTCGGACGCCAGCGTCCTAGTACAGTAGACCCCCTCTTAACCGACCCTAATGGGACCGGACCTAGGTCGGATGACTCAAAAGGTCGGATAAAACGGGCAATCCCTAAAATCATAACATAATGAGTGCTATTCATTTGGAATTATATAATCATTATTTTGAAATCATACCTGCATTATTTATCAAATAAACTACTCTTATCTCCTTTTTCATATTGATAGAAAAGTCACAAATAAACACAAAGCACGGTTAAGTCAAATAGGCCTACTTTCAGTGGAATATATTATAATACTACGCAAGAGTCAATAAAATTCCTATTTTAATAACTTTAGTACTGTAATGTATTAATTGATGCTTTCAAAATACATCGTAATACAGTACAGAACCTTTTGTCGACATTAAAGATACAAGCGACCATTTTGTTACAAGACAGGACGTTTATTTATAGCCTCTCACTGGAGGCTCAAGCACAAAAACTATCTTGACCTTGGAGTTGTTAACCCCTCTTCCCTACAAGTTGCATTGTTTGTTTACTCCGGCGATAAGATAATCAGTTCTCAAAATCGTAATGCAGTTTATGATGTTATAAGTTTGCCGCTCAGATGATCAGATGTGCTCGAGCTAGGAACGATGATGACAAACTGACAATAGGCTATGCTATATCTTTTTTGATCAACACAAACTAACTTATTGTTAGTCATATCCTGTGGAGATAAGCGTATGGTTCAGTTCTCATCGCCCAGCGTGGGAGCGGAAATGCCGAGATTCCTAGAAAGCGGCGGTTAAACCGAGCTGCTCTCAAAGCAAAGTCGGTTAAAACAAACTGTATTATTTTACGATCGAAGGCGGATAATCCGATTATAGGTTAATACGAGGTCGGTTAAGAGGGGGTCTACTGTATAATCCTAGCCTAACCCATAAAGCCAATGTTTCATTTTTAAATTTTCAAATGAGTTGAGTAGTGAAATACGAGTTTTCCTGAGGTAGTGGTGGTCATCAATAACGTTTTTAGGGCTAAAAGTTCCTAAATCCAAAATGGAACTTTTAAAATGGAACTCAAAATGGAACGCTGGACTTGGAGATATAAATTACAGACCGACAGAAAAACAGACATAACTCGTATTATGTTATAGGATTATTCCATATATAAATATAGTCGAATATCTACGACTACGAGCGTCACCATGGACATCCTGTAAAATAAAGCCCAATATTAATTACTCTTTTAGTCATATCCTATCCTATACTCTTATATGAGCAATGTATGCTTGCACAAGGATCTCGTAAAATTCTTCGACCATTTCCTTCAAATGTAAATAATTTATTTCTGGCCCAAAAACGTGTTTACAGCAGTTAAAACTACGAACAAAAATCTAAATTGTCAACAATTTTTTACATTGGCCTTATGGGTCAATTGTTGGGACTTATGGGTCAATTGTTGAAACTTATGGGTCAAGTTACCATGTTGGTTCAAAAAAATAACAAGGAAAAAGTAAACATAAGACTTGTAACATCTGTTTATAACAAGCCATCCACAGTATACTAGCAAATTACAAAATACAGTACAAAGGGAAGAACACCAGTTGTTACTATTGAGCAAAGATTACACTGAATATTACTCGATATAGGGGAAAATAATTTCGATAAAATACTGATAATTTTACTTGGCTCTCTCCTAGTAAAACTTAATCCTCGAAGTACTGAGACAATTTTTAAGTTAACTTTGGTTTTAACAGTGAAATAAATATAAGATATGAGATAAGATATGAAAAGAGATGATATATTGCTTTCAAAATACTGATATTACAAAGATAAGACATCCTTTTCAGTGCAAATATTCCTGAATAAATATTCCCTTGCAAATTTTCCTTTGTGCTGACACGATTTACGTGGTCCTGTCAGAATAAGTGCTTATACATTTTTAAACCTAAACTTAAAAAAAATTCTTCATCTTGTTTGATTTCATCAGAATAAAAATCAACGGTTCTATTTTGTTAATAGGTTGCTTGGTTGAAAATGACATTTAGTTTTGTTTTATTTTTGTTTATTTCGAGATTATTGGATAGTAAGTAATTTTTAATATTTCCCAAGGTCTAATGTATTAATACCTTTATGTATTTATTTCGATGTGTTCTACTGTATTTCCTGTGATTTTTTTATTAAGTTATTGTCATCAGCATAGGCACAAATTTCCACATAGTTGGTTTGAAAGACCTACCTTCGTATGGTCACCATTTTAGTTTAAAGTATGTAGTAATTTTGTTAGTACCGTATTCTTTTTCTATGTTGTTCCTGCATAGGCCTACATCCTCACTTAATTATATTTTGCACAATTTCATACTGGGTTTGTTTTTATCTCTTTCTTGTACGCACTTTTATGTTTGTTGTAATTTTGTTATATTCTGTTATTGTTAATTTTAAATATTCATCATTGTTGTCTATGGCTAGTTTTCTTTTAGCGAATTACCCATATAGGAAAAAACTATTACCTTATGCTACATCCGATTTACTTTTTTGTTTTGAGGTCCCCAGAGGCTAAAAACACCCTCCTTTCAAATTTTATATTTATGCCCGTTTAGCACGGTAACTCGAGCACAAATGATCAGATTTTGATTGCGTTTGGTATAGGCCTAAACGTGTCTACTTTTACTGTATACGTTTATTCGAACGAGGTCAGGAACTGGTTTTATAACTCTTTAACTTAAAAAGATCAAATTTTGCCATTTCTTTTAATGAATGAACGAATGAAATGTGTTTATTTCCACATAATATATTCAGAAGACATAACAAACTTTTTAATACAAAATATACTTACAAAATATAATCTAAGACTAAGAATGAAAAATAACATTTCTGTATAAATTAATTAAATTGATTTTATGAAATACAGCAGTCATAGGCAAGTGCTAAAAAAAGAAATATTTCAGTACAGTATATATTGAAGCGTTGTTGTGTGCCCAAAAATACAAACGTAAATTTAAAACTACAATACTGTTTTTATAGAGAATAAACTGTTGTAGTTTGCTTGTTTATGGATATTTTAATCAATTTGGGCAATTTTGTTTATTGCGTAATAAGCTAACAGTTAAATTAAAACGCGCCTTCCCCGTATCAACAAACCTAATCACTAATTAACATTAATGGAATTTAAATTGGAAATAAATAAGACAGTTCTATTGGGATTATTTATTTTAGTGGACATCGAGCCAGTTAATTGGAAATCGGCTTAGTCTGCAAGTTTGCTGCGGCAGGGGTTTTTTATTTCTCATTTTCAATATAATTTCCTTACTGTAAAGTGGCTATACTGTTGGCAAAAAAGAGAATAAATACTGAAACTAATAAACGGAAACTATTTAAAAATGAGAAAACACATTTTTAACCCGTTATCATAGTCCAATCCATGCTGGATAGCGAACTCGTTCAAAAAATGCAGGTTCATTTGTTTCATATGCAACCAAAAGAAGACAGTTTATACTTATACTCGAGCTATCGTGCTAGTGGAAACGCGCATATACATGCATCTAAACAGGGTGTTTATGCATCTGGGGACATCAAAAAGAAAATTAAATCGGACGGTTCTAGGTCTTACCATGAGACATACGGTCTTTTCCCAGATGGTAAATTTGATAAATGGCTACTCTCTATACGGAACAACTAATTTGATGTAAAAATCCAATAATGTACTTGCCTGCGAAAAAAATTTGCTCTACTGGCCGCTACGGTGGACCAAAGGCCGCCGTGACGTAGCTGCGCGCGCACCCGCGGTCCGGGCTGTATTGATCTATGTCGTCTGCAGAGCGAGGGCAGTTTGGTAGTGGACGACCGTGCAGTGGTATCAGTTCAGTGGCCAGGGGTGTTATGTACAGTGACAGTATAGGATAGTGACAGTGATGTCATGTTGCGAGATCTGCAACGATGTCGAAGTCACCACCCCGGCACCGAACGCCGAATGTCTCAAGGAGAGAAAATGGTGGTGCTTCCTGCTGTCCTCTATCTTCACCTTCCTGGCGGGGCTGCTCATCGTCCTGCTGTGGCGAGTGTTCGCCTTCCTCTGTTGTCGCAAGGAGCCCGAACTCTCGCCCAATGACCCGAAACAGAAGGAACAGAAGGCGGCCCGGAGCCAGGGCAAGCAGGAGTTCGAGGGCACTTTCATGACAGAGGCCAAAGACTGGGCTGGCGAACTCATCTCTGGTCAGACCACGACGGGCAGGATTTTGGTAAGTTTTGACTTGTTTGGTAACATTGTTCTCGTTAAATGAAAATCTCGATTTAACGTGTTTGGTAGCTATATCGCAAGGCGGTAAGTGAATGTACAATCGTCTATATGTACAATTGTTGTGATAATTAACGATTTTGGTTGACTACATGAAGAATAGACCAAATGAAGAAATTGCACCTTATCGCATTAGACGGATAATTTGAACAATTAGTCATTGTAAAATACTATTTATTATTTAAGTATATTAAAATGTTGGTTCCTCCGTAATCGGCGGGAGACAATTACCTAAGTAATAGCAAACTCCCCTCGAGTAAAGTCTAGTTACTAATTTAATTAACATTCCACACCTCTTGATTAGCATAAAGAATTATTCCACGTTAATCCTTTATACGTATATTGTAGGAGATGTGGAGTGAACTGTTGTGATTACAATTATTTTGGAAATAATTGTAGGAAAAATGTTGGTTTTCTGAACGTTGTGATTTTGTTTATTAATAAGATATTATAGAATTCATTCATTATCACTGGCCTCGTTTTCGTTTAACACGTTTTAAGTATCTAGCATATACAACATTTCGTGTTAATGACTTTTCATTAAAACTGTTTAAAACTATCGATTGTAATTTTCAGGACCCACACAGTAACACGTTTATCACCGATATTTGCTTGGATTATCTTTTTGATTTAAATCATGATTAATAGTCCGTAAATTATCCAGAGTTTATTGCCAATCAGTACAGTATGATATTTTGGCTTAAAACACTTGATTACATATTTATTTTTCTATTTGACGTTTCTAATCGAACAGATACATTTTAATTTACCGGTAGTTCAATTCAAAAATAAATTTAAGTACCCTAAAGATTCGGTTGGCGAGATAGAATTAGCAACATACATTTGCTGTACCAAACAATATACATTATGCGATCGTTAGGCAGTTGATGAGAATCGCTTCATGGAAACATTGGGAACCATTACAATACTAAATATTATTTGTCGCCGACACGCACCATCCTGATCAATAGCCTGATAAACATTGAACTTTATACAGAGGTCAATATTAATGTATTTGTTTGTTTTTATGCCTAATCAGTAAACTGTTTAGGGGGTTTAAATTTCCTGTAAATGTTGAGACAGGTGAAATCAAATTCTTTCAAAACTACATCAACCATATATTATATCAACAATTTATGTAATGTGTCAGCAATTTAGCTGGGTGACCTAGAAAATAAGATGTACCTAGATTCAAAAATAGTTCCGAAGTAGGAACAATCGAAAAGGATAAGAATCAAATCCCTTATTTAGATATTTAAACGGCAACACCTAAATAAAACCGAGCAGAATACAATGCGGCCGAAAATAAACTTCAGGGACTATCGGCTGCTGGGTGCGGCAATTAAAGAAATCACAGGAAATTGGCAACCGGAATCATCGATGGCTAATAACCAGCAAGTAGTGACACAAGCCCGATCTACTTGCATCCGCGGTGCCAGATAAAACCAGGGGCTTGGCCAGCTCGAGGATTAAGCGAATTGGACGACGTCCAAGTGTGGACATTCCAACCCGAGACCGCTGCGACATGCGCGAATATCCCGCTGACACAGAGCAGACACTGTGAATGGAACTGATCTGTGTGTAGTGGCCACACATAAACACATCTATCACGTGATGTGACACAGTAGATGACGTCACTGAGGTAGTCTGTCGTATGTTGTGTGACTGTGACACAGAGACGCTGTGAATGGAACTGATATGTGTGTAGTGGCCACACATAAACACGTCTATCACGTGATGTGACACAGTAGATGACGTTACTGAGGTAGTCTGTCGTATGTTGTGTGGCTGTGACACAGAGACGCTGTGAATGGAACTGACCTGTGTGTAGTGGCCACACATTAACGCATCTTTCACGTGATGTGACACAGTAGATGACGTCACTGAGGTAGTCTGTCGTATGTTGTGTGACTGTGACACAGAGACGCTGTGAATGGAACTGACCTGTGTGTAGTGGCCACACATTAACGCATCTTTCACGTGATGTGACACAGTAGATGACGTCACTGAGGTAGTCTGTCGTATGTTGTGTGACTGTGACACAGAGACGCTGTGAATGGAACTGATCTGTGTGTAGTGGCCACACATAAACACATCTATCACGTGATGTGGCACAGTAGATGACGTCACTGAGGTAGTCTGTCGTATGTTGTGTGGCTGTGACACAGAGTCACTGTGAATGGAACTGATCTGTGTGTAGTGGCCACACATAAACCCATCTATCACGTGATGTGACACAGTAGATGACGTCACTGAGGTAGTCTGTCATATGTTGTGTGGCTGTGACACAGAGACGCTGTGAATGGAACTGATATGTGTGTAGTGGCCACACATAAACACGTCTATCATGTGATGTGACACAGTAGATAACGTCACTGAGGTAGTCTGTCGTATGTTGTGTGGCTGTGACACAGATGCACTGCGAATTGAATTGATCTGTGTGTATTGGCTACACATAAACACGTCTATCACGTGATGTGGCACAGTAGATGACGTTACAGAGGTAGTCTGTCGTATGTCGTGTGGCTGTATGACACAGAGACACTGTGAATGGAACTGATCTGTGTGTAGTGGCCACACATAAACACAACTATCATGTGATGAGACACAGTAGATGACGTCACTGAGGTAGTCTGTCGTATGTTGTGTGACTGTGACACAGAGACGCTGTGAATGGAACTGATCTGTGTGTATTGGCTACAAACAAACACATCTATCACGTGATGTGACACAGTAGATGACGTCACTGAGGTAGTCTGTCATATGTTGTGTGGCTGTGACACAGATGCACTGCGAATTGAATTGATCTGTGTGTATTGGCTACACATAAACACAACCATCGCGTGATGTGACACAGTAGATGACGTTACAGAGGTAGTCTGTCGTATGTCGTGTGGCTGTATGACACAGAGACACTGTGAATGGAACTGATCTGTGTGTAGTGGCCACACATAAACACAACTATCATGTGATGAGACACAGTAGATGACGTCACTGAGGTAGTCTGTCGTATGTTGTGTGACTGTGACACAGAGACGCTGTGAATGGAACTGATATGTGTGTAGTGGCATAGACAAAAAGAATTATTTCATTCTTTTTGTCTATGGTAGTGGCCACACTGCCACACATAAACACAACTATCACGTGACGTGACACAGTAGATGACGTCACTGAGGTAGTCTGTCTTATGTTGTGTGGCTGTGACACAGAGACACTGTGAATGGAACTGATCCGTGTGTAGTGGCCACACATAAACACATCTATAATGTGATGTGACACAGTAGATGACGTCACTGAGGTAGTCTGTCGTACGTTGCATTTACACATCCATCATGTGAATTACGTACAACCTTTGAAGTCAATAGTAAAACGCACTACGGTCGATGGGTTACCATGCTTATGCCTCTTATTAATTTGTATGTGGCTTTTAGTCCCATCTTTCTTCTTGACTGGTTTAGACAATTAATTAATACCTGAATCACTATCAATTAGATTAAATTCATTGGTAAATGGTGGAATTTGAAACTGGAACCCCAGGGAACGATGATATACCAATACCAGCTTGTACTCCCATATTTTGTCACAAGCTGGGATGTTACATTATTTTACATTGTGGCAAAGTTATTTGGTTCGAACATTAAATAAATAGGGTTGGGATTAGATATCCGGTCCAATTCTTATCTATGGTGGTTGGGTGCTGATAACCAATCAGTTTATGGTTAACCCAACCTTTCTCCTTTCTCCAACGGGAATGAAAAATGAGGTGGCAGTGATAAGAATGTAATACTCGGTTACCAAAAGGTTTTGTTTCAAATAAAGTAGAAATCTTGACTATTTTAGAACATAATAGTCTTATAGATAGTTATTTACACTTATCTTTTATTTAAACAATGTTTATAAATAATTTTTTTTATCAATTATTTAAGATGGGGACGCCACTATGTACGTATTTTAACCCAAATATGAGTAAAGGATGAGTGGCGCGATCTTGTAGTCTTGTTAGTGACTAAGACCGACATGTTCCTTAGACACAGCTGTTAATTAATAGCCCATACACCTAATGGCAACTAAGGGACCTTTAGTTTATAGTGGAATCCGAACCACACTTTTTCCTTGTAATTTACGAATTGGTCTAATTATCAGGATAGTACTGCGGATAGTTGTAGTACTCACTAGTGCGGACGTTAATCCACACCAGGGAGCATCGCATCCACAGTGCATCCCTATAAATATCCACAATTCGTGACCTCCTAGTAGCTGGATTACAGGACGACGCCACCCGTCCCAGTCCATCATATATATATATATATGCAAAACAAATTAATTATACGTAGTGTAAATCGGGCTAGATATAATAGTAGGCCTAATCAATAATAATAATGTAGCAATTTGTCAAATGGTAAAGAAATGATTCTGGTGTCATGAAAAGTTTTATGGATAATTAGGGCGAAAAACTTTCATCAAAGCAATAAATTAATGAAATGCCATACACTGTCATAAAAACCAATAGACCAATAGAACCGATATATTCTATCAGAATGTGTCAAATAGACATACTCAGCACTGTCAACCCTTTTTGATCAGTTATTTTATTTATCGTAGTGACATCTTTTACATCATTTGACTGTCGGACCCGTCCACTTTAAATTTTGATCCAAACGATATCAGAATAATATTTAAATCATTATTCAGAGTGACATTATCGTTACAGTTTTTTTTACAATTACACTATTTTTTACGAAATAATTATTTTGATTTAAAATTGGTGACATCAATGTCATTGCCGTTTTATATATTTTCGCAGTATGCAAAATTAATTTCTTTGAAATCTGTGCTGACAATTTAATCACTTATTAGGTCACAATTATTGCTCATTTCAACGGTAACCCTATCAAAATACTCCAAAATTGATTAAATCGATACCTTAATGGTATTGGGGTCGGG